GCTGTCCCTCAGCTCTTCAGCTCAAGGCTAGCGCTCTACCACTTGAGCCACAGCGCCACTTCTGGCTTTTTTCTTTTTGCTTATGTGGTGATGAGGAATGGAACCCAGGGCCTCATGCATGCAAGGCAAGCGCTCTACCACTGAGCCACCTTCCCAGCCCAGGCCTTGAGTTCAAGCCTCACAACTGACAAAAAAAAAAAAAAGACATAGAGAGAGCAAGAGGAGGAAGAAGAGAGAGAGAGGGAATGAGGTTGACGGGGTACATTGTACACATGTGTGTAGAATTGTGATAATGGGTTTCCCCATGTATAATCGATGTATGCTCCTAACAATAAATAAATCAAACAAAGAAAGAAACCTCTCAGCTCACCAGCTGTCAGTGGCTCCCACTGCAATCCCAGCTCCTCTGGAGGCTGAGATCCTGAGGATTGTGATCTGAGGCCAGCCCAGGCAGGAACACCCGTGAGACTCTTGTCTCCAATTAAACACCCCCAAGACCAGAAGTGGAGGTGTGGTTCAAGTGGTAGAGCGCCACCTTTGAGTGCAAAAGCTAATTAACTAATGCCCAGGACTGGAGTTCAAGCTCTAGGACTGGTGCATGTGCATGTATATGCTTGCATGCACACACGTACAAAACAAGGTAATGTCTTCTTTTCTCCTTTGTCCACTGTTGGAGCCCTGCGGAGAGCCACTATCAAGAAGAGCAAGACAGACCTGCTGAGCCCGGAGGAGGGAGAGGACCAGCTGGCTGACATTGCCTCCGTCGGTGAGTCTTCCCTCTACTGCTCGGCCCTGCACAAGAGATGGGGCGCTGGTCCTGTGGACCCCGGCTGCCCTGCATTGGGGTCTCATTCTGCTGCTCATCCTATGTGACCATCGCGGAGTAGATTCCATGTTTATACAAATAGCCAGCCTCCCCCCACCCCGCCCATCTGATTCCCATCGTGCATCAAGACCTGGTCTTGCAGGGTGCAGCACTCAGTCATGCCCACGGGCAAGTTATTAGTATTATTATTATTATCGATATTATTCGTTTGTGCTACTGTTGAGGCTTGAACTCAGGGCCTGGGAGTTGTGTCTGAGCTTTTTCATTCAAGGCTGCTGCTCTACTGCGTGAACCACAGATCCACTTGCAGCTTTTCGCTGGTTCATTGGAGATAAGAATCTTAGGGACTTTCCTGCTCAGGCTGGCTTTGAACCATGATCCTCAGACCTCAGCCTCCTGGGTAGCTGGGATTAGCTAGGATCAAAATTATTAACAGCCTTTTGCCTCCTTGTTCAAGTCTGCATTGCTGAGCCACACCCCCCACGGCTGAGCCACGCCTACCCCCAGCCACAGCCTGTTTCGGATCCACTCCTGGCTGCTAAACCATGCCCCCACCTCGGAGCCACGCCCCATTGCTAAGCCGCGCCCACCTCAGGGCTGAGCCACGCCCCTGTCACAAGCCACGCCTCCATCCCTGAGCTGTCTAGCGGAGCAGCTGGGACACCTGGCCAATGAGTGGTTTTGTTTATTTGTTTACTGGTGATTGTTGCCACGAAGGTGATGCACAGCGCCGGTACAGCTTGTAAGTCGGGAAATGCGCACATTGCTTTTTGGACCATGTCACCCCTTCCCTCGCTCTCTCATGAGTCATTTTAAACACAGCTTTTTTTCCCCTCGGGGCTGGGGAGGGGGCGAGCTGGGCGAGCTGGGCGGGGTCTCGGGTTTTCCCCGTCATCGTGATTGGTGCCTGAGAAAGTCACTTGAGAGGAAAATTTGAATTGGGCTCCGGGCGGAGGTTCTGTGGCTTCTGGCTGGGCTGGGGAGAAGTTGACCATTGTGGAGGAAGGGCGTGGCCGGGCCAAGCTGCACACTTCACGGCGGCCAGGAAGCAGAGACAGACAGACAGGCCGAGCATCCAATCTAGCTCCCCTTTTCCCCTCTCTTAGTCCACGGGAGGTCTCCCAGCCTATTGGAGGATGCTATTCTCATTCAGGGTAGGTCTTTCCCACTCCATTGGCTCTCCCACATGTCAATCATCCTGGACCTGCCCTGAGAGAGTGGGGCAGAAAGGGAAGAAGTGAATTTTCCTAACCTCCTAATGCTCCTTCAAAGCAGCCAGCTGAGTGACAAGAGGAATCGCCACACTGGGGCTGCTACAAGAAAACACCACCTATTTTCTTTAGGGTTGGAGGTGTGGCCCAACAGGTAGAGCACTTTTCCTAGCAAGAGAGTACCTGAGTTCAAACTCTAGTACTGCGCTCTTCCAAAAATAATTATTATTATTATAAGTGATAAAAAGGAAGACAAACATAAAACTGAAATCCTCTGGCACTTCTGTTTTTAAAAGCTGATGGCTTGGTCTGGGAAAGTGGCTCTTTGGTGGGCGTGTGTGGCCCCGCCCATGGGCTGTGGCTCTGTGGTGGGCGTGGCTCCGATGTGGGCGTGGCTCCGTGGCTCCACGGTTGGGGCCATGACTGCGCTGCCACTGGGTTTTGTGTCCTCAGGATATTAAAAGTCTGTTCTGGAAATTTTTTTTTTTGGGTCCGGTCGTGGGGCTTGAACTCTGGGCCTGGGCGCTGTCCCTCAGCTCTTCAGCTCAAGGCTAGCACTCTACCACTTGAGCCACAGCGCCACTTCCGGCTTTTTTCTTTTTGCTTATGTGGTACTGAGGAATCGAACCCAGGGCCTCAGGCATGCAAGGCAAGCGTTCTACCACCGAGCCACCTTCCCAGCCCCATGGAAAATTTTTTAATTTACTATAAATGTTATTAACCATAGCCACCAGGCAGAGCAGTTGATCCCTAAAATGTGCTCTCTGGCTAACCAAAACTTCATCACCTGAACACAAGCTCTCTCCTTTGCATGTTTCTCGCTCCTCCCCTCCCCTCCCTCCTCTCCCCTCCCCTCGCCTCTGTGAACACCGCTCTTCTCTTCTCTCTGTTCCTATCACTTTTCCACATGCAGCTGAGGGCGTGAAGCGTTTGTTCCTCTGTGGCTGGTCTCTTTCACTCTGCACAACGCCCTCCAGTTGTGCTCACATGTGGCAGGTGACAGAATTCCCTCCCGTTTTCAGGCAGTGTGGTATTCCACCTCATACATACAGTATGTGTGCAACCAACACCCACATAGATGCTCAGAGAATGCTTCTGAGCTGAGGGTACACGTGGCTCCTTCGTCGGTGGTCACCCCCAAAGTGAAACTCCTCCGCCTAGAGGCCTTTTAAGTACTCACGCTGCTGCTTCATGGCCTGCCCCTCTACCGGGGATCCACAACAAGGGGCGCTCCCCAGAGACATTGCAAGGGGTCAGGCCTGGCAGATAGCCTCAGCCCTCCAGTGTCCCCCCAGACTCCACGTCCACAAAGCAAAACGCCTGCTCATGATGGCTTGCTCCGGTCATGCAGCTGCTCGGGCAGTTAACAGACCCTCAGTTTCTTCACGGAACTTCCTGCGTCTAACACTGTCCGTCCTCTCCCCGACAGGGTCTCCCTTTGCCCGGGCCAGCATTAAGAGTGCCAAGGTGGAGAACTCCACCTTTTTCCACAAGAAGGAGAGGAGGATGCGCTTCTACATCCGCCGCATGGTGAAAACTCAGGCCTTCTACTGGACTGTGCTCAGCCTCGTAGCCCTCAACACGCTGTGCGTCGCGATTGTTCACTACAACCAGCCCGAGTGGCTCTCCGACTTCCTCTGTGAGTGGGAACGGCTCCCCGCCCCCCCTGCCCGACCCCTGATCTTACCCTCACGGGCTTTCTCCCGCTCCCTCCGTGCTCCCTCTGTGGTCCTCCCGGCTCCTTCCTGGGATCTGTGACGATCGTGAAATGCATGAGGCAGACGACTCTGTAAAGAAAGGAGCTTCATTTATTGAACTCTTAGCTTTGGAGAGCCAAGTGGTCTGCACAGGGCCACGTCAGATGACTGTTGGGGGGAGAGAAAGAGAGAGACTGGGATCCCCACAACTTCTGTGGAAGGCACCCCCCCTATGGCCTAAGGACCTCTCGCTAGGCTCCACCTCTTAAAAGCCCACACCACTTCTCAAAGCCTGCCAAGGATCCTTTAGGTAGACTCAAACTACATGTCTCGGCTCATCCATCTTCCCCTAGCCAGACAGCTGGAAGCTCCAACCCAATCTGGTCTTTTCAAGAAAGATCATATGGGGTGCTTACTGAAAGGGGTGGTAGGAGAGAGAGAAATATGGGGTCCTTGTGAGAGCTTGGTGGAAACAGATCTGATCTCTATGCCTGTTGGGTGTTAAAATCATTTATGATTAAGGAGTGGAGTTTCTTAGAAATGGGGGATCCCCTCCTGGGGCACCCCACCCCCCCATTGTCACTGCTCACTGTCAACCTCCCGCCTTGCTCTCCATGTGACTGTGCCTCCTTCCTGTTTCCCTTTCTGGCCCTTCTGGCTTTCCTTATGTTGGAGACTCAGTCTTAGATTATCTTCTCCCTACCCCCAAGGAAGACCATCTGAACCATCTATGGGTGCCAGCACCCCCAAAGGCTTTGCTCTCTGGACCCGTTCCCCAATTTCAGGAATCACCATGAGATAGCCAGAAAATTGAGGGACAGTTGTGAGGAGTAAGGAGAAGTATGTCAAGCAGGGGAGACTTCCCAGTGGATCTTCAAAAGTAAAGAGCTCCGAGAAATCAACAAGAGGAGCAGTTGGCAGACAGGGAGGCAAACGGACAGCTCGGCTTTGGTTTCTGAGCCTGCAGTCACTGCTTGTTGCTTCCTCTTGAATCTGATCATTCATCTGTCTCCTGATGTCTTCCCGACCTGGTTCAGAGCTGACCTAGGCCATAATCATGTCTTTAACCTAGAAAGGCCTCAAGAGTCTTGTCTCCTTAGAACCCTGATTACTCCAGGCCTGTTGGCTGCCACCCCCATTCCAGACGCCTCTCAGGGACCAGATCTCCTTCGGGGCCTCTTGTCCTACTTCCAACCTCGGTAATTGAATTTCGTCCCTTTGGAGAGCCTCTTATAAATGAGGACTCGACTTCCTGTTACAACAGTCTTCTGATTGGCTATTTTTAATCTCCTAATTTGCTCCTCACTAATCACCTTGCAGTCTGGCCTGATTTAGGAATAAAGGTTGGTACTTCTTTCTGGGAACTTTTGTGTCTGTAAAGATCATTTGGTTGGTCCCCATTTGTCAACTGAGAAAACTGAGAGGTGAAATAACTTGTTGGGAGGTTACACAGCTTGAAAGTGATGAAGCCAAGATTTGAACCCAGGCAGTTGAAGACCAGAATCTAAATTGGGTGTGAGAACAGATCTCTCCTCTGGGTACCAGGGGACCCTAAATTGTCAATGGCTTCCCTGCCCCTAACCCAATCATGTGAACCTGAGTAAGTCATTACCCATTGATCGTGCATTGATTGGCCATGTCTTCAAATATTAGACACTCATTTCTTTTATGTGCTGTTTAAAATAAGAAAGCAGCCAGGCGCCAGTGGCTCACGCCTGTCAACCTAGCTACTCAGGAGGCTGAGATCTGAGGATCGAGGTTCAAAGCCAGCCTGGGTAGAAGTGACTGAGAGACTCATCTCCAATTAACTACCCCCCAAAAAATCCTGAAGTGAAGCTTTGAGCCAGAAAGCCAAGGGAGCGCACAAGGCCCTGAATTCAATCCCTAGTACCAACATTTCAATAGTAAGTTTTTAAAAAGGTAAAGCATTCTGATTTTAAGATGGACCCAAAAGACCTACCAGGTAAAGTGGAAGCTCCAGTGTTGACAGTCAGTCTGAATCATTTCTTCAAAGATCTACTGAAGTCTCTTCATCACTGCCTAAGTTGGCCAGCACCACTTTAAGGCAAGAGCATTACCTCTGAGCTACGCCCCTAGTGCCAAGCCCCGCCCCTGCCACTAAGCCACGCCCTCACCACAAAGTCACACCCCCAGCCCAGTTTTTTTTGTATAGGAGCCACCAGTCAACACAATATCTATGTCCCTCTCAGTAGCTTATATCCAGCTTTCTTTTTCTCTGTCTCTCTGTCTCTCTCTCCCTCTCTTTCTTTTTACCAGTCTTGGGGCTTGAACTCAGTGCCTGGACGCTGTCCCTGAGCTCCTTGTTCCTCAAACCTAGCACTCTCCTCCTTGAGCCACAGCACCACTTCCGGCTTTTTTCTGTGATTAATTGGAAATAAGGGTCTCACAAACTTTCCTGCCCAGGCTGGCTTCAAACCATGATCCTCAGACCTCCATCTCCTGACAGGCGTGAGCCACTGGCTCCCAGCCATCCAACCTTCTTCAGACCAGGGAAAGAACTAAGTGATGGAGACCGGCTGAACTTTCTCTTCTTCTAAGACAGCTCTGAGCCAGGCCTGGTGGCTCATGCCTGTAATCTCGGCACTGGGGAGACAGAGGTAGCAGGATGGAGAGTTGGCACTCCAGCCTCAGTTACATAGTCGAACCCTGTCTCAGAAAACAAGACTGGCTGCCTGTGGGTGCTGGCTGGCTGGCGAGATGGTGGGTCGCTGCTCGTCGTTTCCCACAACAGGGGAAACTGAGGCCCTCTGGGCCAAGGTGTCCTTTGCACCATTCTATTTCTCCCTGGCTACCAGGCCGAGGACAGAAGCATTGCCACCTTGAAGCGCTACCCCCAATACATCTAACCTCCTTCCGTTTCCTCCTTCTTTCCTCTAGACTATGCAGAATTCATTTTCTTAGGACTCTTTATGTCCGAAATGTTTATAAAAATGTACGGGCTTGGGACGCGGCCTTATTTCCATTCGTCCTTCAACTGCTTTGACTGTGGGGTAAGTGCACGATTTCTGTTGAGATTGTTCTCCAGATTTCATCACGGGGGGGGGGGGGAGCAGTAAGGAGAGAGGTAGTCTGGGCGTGGTCAGGCATTCCTATAATCCCAGCACTCCGGAGATCGAGGTAGGGGGATGGAGAATTCCAAGCGATCACTGGCTACATAGGGAGATCCAGCGTCCACAAAAGAAAGAAGGAACTGGAGGAGGAAGAGGATGGGGGTGTCACCTGGATAGGACAGACGGAGAGGGGAGGGAGGAGGCCTCGGGTCGCTCAGCCCCTTCTCTGAAAGCAGAGGTGCTGCTCCAGCCATCCTGTTCCTTTACTCTCAGATATGCTGACTCTCTTTTTTTGGGGGGGGGGGATTGGGGGGTTGAGTTGGTTTGGTTTAGGGATTTGGTGGGGAAGGAGGGGGTCCTTTTGTGATTTCCTTTCTTGCAATGCAAAAAACCCAGGGCCCCCTCACATGTTAGTGAACACTCAACCACGGAGCCACGCCCCTACTGCTGAGCCACGCCCTGCCAGCGACACTCCTCCCGCACTGCTCAGTCAGGCGGCGAGGGCTGCGCCACGCCCCACCCTTAGCCACGCCCCACCCTTCGCCACGCCCCTATGGCTTAGTCCCATCCCCTATAGCTGAGCCCATCCCTACCACTTAGCCCCACCCTTGCCACGTAGTTCCACCCTTACCAGTTAGCTCCGCCCCGTGGCGGAGCCACGCTTACCACTGAACCCTGCCGTTTAGCTGCACCCCTGCCACTTAACCCCGCCCCTGCTGTTTAGCCAGGGCCAGTGCTAAGCCACGCCCTGCCATTTAGCTCCACCCCTAGCACTGAGCCATGTGGTTGTATCATAGCCTGCCACGAAGCCCCGCCCCTGCACCTTAGCTCCACCCCCACGTGCTTCACTCCACCCCCACCCCACCCCCCACATCCTATTTCTTTGCATAGTGGCTTTCCATAAGAGAAACATCCGGAGACGCTGCCAGGGGATGTGTGACGTACAGGGGTCCCCCGAATCCCCCAAACCTGACGCTCCCCCTTCTCTGCACCCGCAGGTCATCATCGGCAGCATCTTCGAGGTCATCTGGGCAGTCATCAAGCCGGGGACGTCCTTCGGGATCAGCGTGTTACGAGCTCTCAGGTTATTGCGCATTTTCAAAGTCACAAAGTGAGTTGTGGGGTTCCTGGACGGAATCGGGGGCCAGCTGGACTCGGCTCCCCCTGCCCGGCCTGACCACCCCTCTCCCCTCCCTGCCCCATCGGCAGGTACTGGGCGTCTCTCAGAAACCTCGTGGTGTCTCTTCTGAACTCCATGAAATCTATCATCAGTCTCTTGTTCCTCCTCTTCCTCTTCATCGTCGTCTTCGCCCTCTTGGGAATGCAACTCTTTGGTGGCCAGTAAGTCCCGCCCAGAACCTCCAATGTCCCTTTCCCTGGAGTCTAGACCAGGGCACCCCCGCCAGCATCCCTCCTAGCCGGGGGGCAGTGGTTTGGATGGATGGGGCCCTGGGTACCACTTGCCCGGCCTTCCTGCGAGCAGAGAGGCTGGCGGCGTTGCTATGGAGACGGGATGCAGAGCCGAGTCCTGGGAGCAGCTGGGGGCAGGCTCACGTGACATGCGTCCTACCTCCACAGATTTAACTTCGATGATGGGACTCCCCCCACCAACTTTGACACCTTCCCGGCGGCCATCATGACAGTGTTTCAGGTAGGACCTTCCCCCAGTCCTGTGGGCAAGCACCCCTCCCGCCTCCAAAACCAGCGCACCTGCTTACACCTGAGGGGTCGGTCCAGCTCCTGCTCCCTCCTCCACTTTCCCCCTGACATTTTAGAATGCAGATTTGTTACAGTCGCCTCAGATAAGCCAGTGGAACAGACGTGTGCCCGTGAAAAGAAACAGCTCATGCCAGGGGTGGTAGCATACACGTGTAATCCCAGCTCCTCCAGAGGCAGGGCTGGAGGATCCTCACCTGAGGCACAAAGCTAGTGAGACCCTAATCTACAAAACCATGAAACCAAAGAGGGCTGGAGGTCATCACCAAGCAGGAGAGCACCTGCCTGCCAAGTACAAGACCCTGAGTTCAAATCCCATTGCCAGAAAGTCAAGAGGAAACAAAAAATAAGCGACAGACATGATTCATACACCTACCTATCTCCAAGTGGAAAGTCACCTGACTTCACATTCCAGCGGGAAGGGACCCCCGAGCTTTGAGGGAGAATCGTCAAGTGTGGAGTTCTGACCAAGCAGTAATCCTCAAGATTCCGAGTGGCTGAGATTACAGGCGTGAGCCACTGCTCCTGCCTGGCTGGCTTTTGTGTTTCGGTGTTTGGGGTGGTTTCTTTTCTTCCTTCCTTTCTTTTTCTCTCTTTTTGAGACAGGGTCCCACTATTGCAGCCCAATCTGACCTCCAGCTCAAAACTCCTGCCCTCGCCTCCTGTGTGCTGGGATTACAGGCGTGTACCGCCATGCCTGGCGCTCGCTTCTTAGGGCACTAGTCCTGAGTTCGCACTTCCACAATGACTTTGATGGGGACACCAGAGAGATGATAGTATAGGACACCCCTTCCCCCCACAGACAACAAAGTCCCCCCTTATCTCCTGAGGGGAGCAAAGCCCCCCCTTATCTCCTGAGGGGAGCAAAGCCCCCTCTTATCTCCTGAGGGGAGGGGGGTGGGGCAAAGATGGAAGCGTGGGCATGGCTGGTACCATTGACTGGGGGGGGATGGGCATGGGAAGGCTGGAGCCCCACCCCCGCCCCTCCTTCCCGGGGGAGGGCGGGCTGCCAGCTGAGAGGGGGTCGGCTGTGTGTCTCTCCCTGCCCCTGTTTCAGATCCTGACCGGGGAGGACTGGAACGAGGTGATGTATGACGGGATCAAGTCTCAGGGCGGGGTGCAGGGGGGCATGGTCTTCTCCATCTACTTCATCGTCCTCACTCTCTTCGGAAACTGTATCCTTCGCCATGGGGGGGGGAGCCGGGGCCCCTCCCCCGCCGCCCTTCCTGGCTGCTTTCCCTGACTCTGGCGCGCGCAGACACCCTCCTCAATGTTTTCTTGGCCATCGCTGTGGACAACCTGGCCAACGCCCAGGAGCTCACCAAGGTGCAGGCCACGGGAGAACGCGGGCCAGGAGGGGGGCTGGGGACAAGAGGGCGGCCTCCACAGACAGCAGCAGGCCAGAAGAGAGCACAGGGGCGGAGGGGCGGAGCCGGCCTAGCACGCGGCCTCCTGGAAGGTCTTAGCCACCAAAACCTGTCTTGTGAGCCAGGTGTGGTGGTGCACGCCTGTACTACCAGCACTCAGGAGGCTGAAGCAGGAAGGTCATGAGTTGGAAGCCAGTTTGGGCTACGTAGCAAGGCAGAAAAGTAATTAGTAATAATAATAACAACTCCAGAGGAAAAAAATATGATCGTCCAGCCAGGCACTGGTGGCTCACGCCTGAGATCTGAGGATTGAGATTCAAAGCAGCCCCAGGCAGAACCGTCCATGAGACTCTGATTGCCAGTGAACCACCAGAAACCCGCAAGTGGTGCTGTGGCTTCAAGTGGTAGAGCGCCAGTGTTGAACAAAAAGAGCTCGGGGACAGCACCTAGGCCCCAGGTTCAAGCCCCATGACGGGGGGGGGGGGGCAGGACTCCCAAGCCATGAGACAGGGAGTTACAGTCAGCCCCACTGCACAGCTGGGGAAACTGAGGCCCAGGGTAGTTGAGTGACTTTGCCACGTGAGTGGAGAGTAAGAGAACAGGCCTGGAATCCGGCAAAGAGCAGAGGAGGCTTGGGGAGCACGGAGAAAAGGCATTCAGGTGAGATGGGGAAGGAGGGCGGTGTTGGGGGCGCGGCAGCTTCAGGAGCATCTTGGGAATCTACCCCAGTTGGCTTGTGGGAACTCAGAGAACAGAAAAACAGGGTTTCCCTCCGGCTCTGGCACCTGGGGCGCTGAGGAGCCTGAGGCCCTGCCAGCCGTCCATCTGCCAGTCCCAGCAGGAGGGAGCGACAAGTTCCAGGCCACACATCCGCCCTGGGGCGGGGGGAGCAGAAGTTTCATCCGGTCCACCGTGGAGCTGCCTTGTGCTCACAGAGGGAGCAGGGGGCTGCTCTCCCTGGGAACTTGTCCTTTTCTGAGAGCCCAGAGAGCGACCATCAGGACCCACATTGCCCAGCCCTGCCCTGCCAGGCACCTCGTGCCTGCTATATGCATAGATTGAGCACCTACTGTATGCAGATCTTTGATCTCCAAGCCAGAGAGCCATCACCCCACAGAACAACTGTCCACTCAGCTGGGGGCTCAAGCTGAAAGCCACATGAGAGCTCAGATTATTATTATTATTGGTAAAAAATACTCTGCTTATCAGAGGGCCCTAAGCCCCAAAGAGAAAGTTCCAAGTATGAGGAAAAGGAGGCTCAGAGGAGTTAAGACTAGCCCAAAGTCACATGGCAATAAGGACTGTGAATCAGATGTTGGAACACAATAACAAGTCCTGGCTGGGAAGTTCAGAGCTCTCAAGTACTGTGTCCTGAGCAGCTGAAAGTGGAATGAATGCCATGCCACACGGAGGAGCAGATTTGGGGGTACAGTCTTGTTTGGGGGAGGGAAGAAGGGCTAGGACTCCATATTGCAAAATGTCTCGGCAGCAGATTGTCCAAGTGGGATTAGGGTGGTGAGAGGTGTGGAGCGTGGGGGGGGGGTGACTGGCAGCCTCCAGGTGGTCAGGAAAATATGGTCTCTGGTCCCCAGAGATTCCTCACCCACCCTCTTGGGGACAATCATCCTCCAGCCCCCCCCCCCCCACGCAGTGCCCTTTCTGAGTGGTTAGGTTTGGTTTTTTGGCCATTTCTTTCTCGGTTTTTTTCCCCCCTTTGCTTTTCTTTTGTTGGCTTTTCTGTTTAACCATGAGGCCCTGCAGACGGCTCGAAGAAACAGGATTTAAAGTCCAAAGCCATCTTTTTCTATATGTATTTTTGGAAAACATCTTCCCTTTCCCTTCCTTCTCTCCAAGCACAGCACCCTGTGCCCCCCCTTTCTCCTCTTCCCATGGGGAGGGGGCTGAGAGTATCGATTTTTCTCCTCGTTTCCCCCTCTGGGAGCTGTTGGGGAAAAAAAAGAGCTGGGGCCAGCAGATTGTGTGTGGAGGAGTCCGTGTCCGGGGGGAGTTGGTTTAAGGATTTTTAGACAGCTCAGAAAGTACAGAAGAAAGTGTGACTGGGCGCTGGTGGCTCACGCCTGTAGTCCCAGCTATGCAGGAGGCTGAGATCTGAGGATCACAGTTCAAAGCCAGCCTGGACAAAAAAGTCTGTGAGACTTATCTCCAGTGAACCACCAGAAAACTGGTGCTGTGGCTCAAGTGATAGAGCACTAGTGTTGAGCAAAAGAGCTCAGGGACAGCCCCCAGGCCCTGAGTTCAAGTCCCACAACTGACAAGAAGGAGGAGGAGGAGGAAGGAAGGAGGAGGAGGAGAGGGAGGAGGAGGAGAGGAAGAAGTTGTTGTTGATAATCTGGTGGCTCACACCTGTAATCCTAGTTACACTGGAGGCCGAGATCTGAGGATCATGTTTGGAAGCCAGCAGGAAATTTTGTGAGACTTTTTTTGTTTTGTTTTTTGGGGTCTGGTCGTGGGGTCTGAACTCTGGGCCTGGGCGCTGTCCCTCAGCTCTTCAGCTCAAGGCTAGCGCTCTACCTCTTGAGCCACAGCACCACTTCTGGCTTTTTTCTTTTTGCTTATGTGGTGCTGAGGAATCAAACCCAGGGCCTCATGCATGCAAGGCAAGCGTCTACCACTGAGCCACCTTCCCAGCCCCTGTGAGACTCTTCGGTGAACCACCAAAAAAAAACAAAGGAGCTGTGGCCCAAGTGGTAGAGCACCTTGAGCAAAAAAAAAAAAATCTAAGCAAGAGCACTGGGTGCGAGTCCTGGCGTGAGCACATAGAAAGGAAGAAGGACATCGGGGAGTGTGCTCCATGGAAGAACACTTGCTTAGCATTTCTTCAAAAGGCCTGGGTTTATCCCCAGCACTGAAAAAAAAAATGAATTAATCTTTGCCCTCTGACTTATTTCTGGCTGTGCATAAAGTAAGGTCAATAATAAGCCAGGTGTGGTGACAAATCCCAGCACTTGAGAGGCTGAGGCAAGAAGACCAGAAGTTCTTGGCTAGCTTGCGCTGGAACTGAGACCCTGTATCTAAAAATTAAAAACACCCTGGGGCAGTGGCTCACACCTCTGGGTCTGGGCAGTGTCCCTCAGCATTTCAGCTCAAGGCAAGTGCTCTACCACTTGAGCCACAACATGACTTCTGGTTTTCTGGTGGTTCATTGGAGATCTCTCATGGAGCTTCCTGCCAGAGCTGGCTTTGAACCGTGATCCTCAGGTCTCAGCCTCCTGAGTAGCTAGGATGACAGGCGTGAGGCCCTGGCGTTGGGGGAAAAATGCTAATTTATTATTATTATTATTGGTCGTGGGGCCTGAACTCTGGGCCTGGGCGCTGTCCCTCAGTGCTTCAGCTCAAGGTGAGCGCTCTACCACTTGAGCTACAGCCCAACTTCCTCGAGGCTTCATCTTAATAGAAAAATCTGGGTGTGGCGCCACACATCCCAGCTAGAGTGGGCAGTGTAAAATAGGCGGATCGCAGTGAGGGGTAAGGTGGGGGGATAATAAGATCCTATTTTCAAAATAAGCAGTGCAACAGTGGGATGGGGTGTGGCTCCAACGGCCTCACACCTGCTCAGCAAGAGGGAAGCCCTGAGTTCGAGTCCCAGGACTGCCCAAAACCACAAGAAGAGGGCTTGTCCTGGGCTGGAGCGCAGGCCTGGACAGCGAGGGTCATCATACACCCCATCCCCGGCCGCTGCCAGCACCAGATGTCCCCCCAAGGCCAGCAGCAGTGTGGGAGCCGGGACCCCCCAGGGCAGTGTGAACTGGGGTCCCTGTCCTTCTAGGACGAGCAAGAGGAGGAGGAGGCAGCCAACCAGAAGCTCGCCCTGCAGAAAGCCAAGGAGGTGGCGGAAGTGAGTCCCCTGTCTGCAGCCAACATGTCCATAGCTGTGTAAGTGGGGGACGGGGCAGGGGGGCCGCCCAACCTCGCAGCCCTGGCAAGAGACGCCCCCCCACCACTCACCCATTTCTCCAACCACTGGGGCTTGTCTGCGCCGTGAGAAACAGTGGCCGGGGTTAGAGGCCGGACGCAGTTGGTAGAGCACTAGCTAAGCAGGTACCGAGTTGGAGTCCAAAGGAAAAAATAGAAAAAAGTGGTAGATAGGGCTTGGGGCTTGGCTCAGTAGTGGGGGCGTGGCCTGCCTGCGAGGGCGTGGCTCCCCATTGGGCGTGGCATAGCTGTGGAAGGTTGCTCGTTGTGTGGGTGTGGCTAATCTTAGGGGCGTGGCACGGCCTCTGGGTGTGGCCTAGATGTCGGAGGTGGGCTCAGTAGTGTGGGTGTGGCTAATCTTAGGGGCGTGGCTCAGCATCAAGAAGCAAAGGCTCACTTGGTAGTGTACCTGCCTAGCAAGCATGAGGCCCTGAGTTCAAACCCCAATACCAGCAAAAGAAAAACAAGAAGTCCTACCATTTTGTAGCTATTTGAGTCAGGGAGAGGGAAATGATAAATGAGATAAGAAAATGTGCCAGGTGCCGGCAGCTCACACCTGTCATCCTAGCTTCCCAGGAGGGTGGGATCTGAGGATCATGGTTCAAAGCCAGCCCCAGCAGGAAAGTCCATGAGACTCTTATCTCCAATGAACCACCAGAAAACCAGAAGTGGCGCTGTGGCTCAAGTGGTAGAGCGCTAGCCTTGAACTGAGGGACAGCGCCCAGGCCCAGAGTTCAAGCCCCACCACCGACCAAAAAGAAAAGAAAGTATCATACATACTATCTTTCTGTCAGAAAGGAATTGAACCGCAGAGAAAAATAAAACTGAGAAGGAGAGCAGGGGATGCTGGGAGTGGAGAGAGCTGTGATTTTTGAGGGTCTGGAGAGGAGCTGGTGATGGAACCCAGGGTCTCATGCACCCTAGCCTAGGGAAATGCTCCATTTCTGAGCTAACCCCACGAGTTGGGGTTTTAAATGCATTAGAGAAGGCCTTATTTAGAAGATGGTAAGACTTAAAGGAAGTGGCGCTGTGGCTCAAGTGGTAGAGCACTAGCTTTGAGCTGTAGAGCTCAGGGACAGAGCCCAGGCCCAGAGTTCAAGCCCCACAACTGGTAAAATAGCAGCAGCAGCAGCAGCAAGGTAAGACTTAGAGAAGAGGAGGAAGAAACCATGGGGGCTACGGGGCTAACAAAACAGCACATGGGGGCTGGGGAGGCGGCTCAGTGGTAGAGCTGAAGAGCTGAGGGACAGCGCCCAGGCCCAGAGTTCAGGCCCCACGAACAGACCAAAAAAAAAAAAAAAACCAGCATATGTAAAGGCCCTGAGGTAGGAAGTAGGTTTTGGGACCAAGAAAGGGTAGCTGCAGGAGCATAAGCAGAAAGGGGAGATGAAGGCAGGGAGGTGACAAACAGCTTAGGCAAATTCCTGGTGCCAAAAGGGGAAAATTTGGGGGTTTTGTTACGTTAGGTGGGAACCATAGAGGTTCTTGAGGTTAGAGACTGGCTCGGGTGCTCGCAGGGGCTGGTAGTGGATCCCGGGAGAACTGCTGGAGACTGATCCCTGGGGAAGAGATGACCCACCTGAGCTGTCACACAGGCCTGGGCGGGGCGGGGCTGGGGCCAGCCTCTCAGAGGCTGGGAGACCCTGCCCACCAAAGCCAGCTTCTTTAAAAAATAATAAAAAAAAAATAATTCTTAGCAAGGATTTTATTTTTGGGGGCGGGGGTCCAGTCATGGGGCCTGAACTCTGGGCCTGGGCGCTGTCCCTCAGCTCTTCAGCTCAAGGCTAGCGCTCTACCACTTGAGCCACAGCGCCACTTCTGGCTTTTTTCTTTTTGCTTATGTGGTGCTGAGGAATTGAACCCAGGGCCTCATGCATGCAAGGCAAGCGCTCTACCACTGAGCTACCTTCATATAAATATATAGATCATATACATACATATATCTAATGTATACATATTATATGTGTGTGTGTGTGTCTATATATTTCTGTGGTGCTGAGGATGGAACCCAGGACCTCCTGGCTTGCTTTCTACATCTGAGCCACTCCCCAACCACTGAGCCATGCCCCTGCCCAGAGCCACATCCATGACACTGTGACTCCTCTACCACTAAGCTCTGCCCCTGCCCAGAAGGGAGAGCACTGAGGTCACTTACCTAGGCTAAGACGCCTCTGAGGTTGGTAGGTGTCCACCAGGCTGGGTTTGGGAGCCCACTTAGGCTGAGACGTCACCCAGGTGAGACCACCAGTGGCCGATGCCCGTGGCTAGGTGCGTTGGTGAGGCAGGGGGAAAGCCCCAAGCCAAGCCAGGTTGAACAGGTAGGCACAGGTGTGTGTGCAGGTGGGCACACAGGTAGGTGCAGGTGGGCGTGCATGTGGGTAAGATGGGTGCGTTGGTGGTATACAGGCGGGCGCGCAGGTAGGAGCGGGTGTGTGTGGGCGCGCTGGTGGGAGTAGGTGGGCGCGCAGGTGGATGCGTGTGGGCGCGCAGGTGGAAGCAGGTGGGTGCGTGTGGGCGCGTGTGGGCGCGCTGGTGGAAGCAGGTGGGTGCGTGTGGGCGCGCTGGTGGAAGCAGGTGGGTGCGTGTGGGCGCGCTGGTGGAAGCAGGTGGGCGCGCAGGTGGGTGCGTGTGGGCGCGCTGGTGGAAGCAGGTGGACGCGCAGGTGGATGCGTGTGGGCGCGCTGGTGGGAGCAGGTGGGTTCACAGGTGGATGCGTGTGGGCACGCAGGTGGACACGCAGGTGGGTGCGTGTGGGCGCGCTGGTGGAAGCAGGTGGGCGCGCAGGTGGATGCGTGTGGGCGTGCAGGTGGACGCGCAGGTGGGTGCGTGTGGGCGCGCAGGTGGGCGCGCTGGTGGGCTGGGCTGCAGCGGCGGGCTGTTGCAGGAAGGAGCAGCAGCGGAACCAGAAGGCGGCCAAGTCGGTGTGGGAGCAGCGCACGAGCGAGATGCGCAAGCACAACCTGCTGGCGAGCCGCGAGGCGCTCTACCCCGAGCTGGCGGCCGACGAGCGCTGGAAGGCCACGTACGCGCGCCACCTGCGGCCCGACGTGAAGACGCACCTGGACCGGCCGCTCGTGGTGGACCCGCAGGAGAACCGCAACAACAACACCAACAAGAGCC